TCACAAAGTGCTCATAAAAGAGATATTAAGGTGCGAAGTTGAGTTCTTCCCGATTTAGCAACTCACGGCAATAAAAAAATAAATCGAATAAACTGACTATAAATTTGATGAGACCTAGGAGAAAGTAAGTTAAAAAAATTCATGCCAATTCTTTTCGTCGCCTTTTCTAGCAGTTATTTCCACCCATTTCATTGCAAAATTCGTCTTTCCACAAATTTTAACGAATCAAAGGTTAAAAAGTGCGCTGCAAACTATCGCAACTTTCCAAGTCTTAACGAAGGTTAAGAAAAGTCGTAATCGGGAGGTGAATGCAAAAGTTAACTTACAGACGAGCTAAATAACTATTGTCATGGGTCAGAGGCCAGAGCTCTCATCTCAAGCACAAACGCAGAGCTCTGAGGTCCTGCACTGCGAAAAACGGAGAGCCGAACAAGTGATCAAAGTACTGCTTAGCTCCATTTTTACTGGTCAATCTCTTGCATCGGCAGTCATAAGGTTGCATTTGGGAATCAGCTGCCTTAAACGTTGCAATTCCTACGAAATTGGAACTGCAGTTATGCCCTATTTGGGATCGGAATTAGGTGGAAAAGCAACATGTTGGCCATCTCGCATGTCCATTGCTAGCCCCAAGAGCGCTGCCTCAAAGGTAGGAGCACTCAACAAAAGACAGGATTGGAAATAGTTTCAATGATTCCTTGCCACGTCTATATCTACCGCAATTTTTTCAGCCAAAAGTGGTGTGGGGGAGACATTACGAGGCTGTGAATATTGGCACCTTAAGTGCTAATCGCCTTCCTTCTAAACACTAGACAGGGTATTTGTCCGGGGGGTGGCAACGTTATGAGACCCTCCACCTACATCACGTGCCCTTCTTTCGCTCCCTCGTGCTCGTATTGTGCGTCCAATGCCTCTCTAAAAATAAATGAAGACACATTGCTATGGCAGAAGGTGTATTTTCGACGGCCCAGAGGTCGTTCCATTTGGCAAGGACATAAAACTGAAAACCTATGCGATTGTGTAAGCAAAATGAATATTTGTCCGAGGTAAAAGATTTTCTTAAAGGTACTGCTATGTAAACATTGTCGACTTTTCTCCTCAAGTCGAGTTGGGGCGAATGCTGTATTGGATTTTTGTAGGAAAACATATGAAGAAATTGAGAGTGCTTCAACCTACTACTGGAACTATCAACGCTATCAAATGATTGCCGACTACGTGCGGCGCTCACCGTTGGTGCCTCCGTTGATCATATTTTGGCATTTCTACGAGGCTTACAAAGCGCTAGGCAATCGTTGTGCAAGCATCCGAAGCACCGAACAAATTGAGAATAATCCCTTCTGTAAGCAGTTCCCTTTTCTCCTCAATGCTCCAGTCCAATCCCCTCACTCGATTAAGACTGACGGTAATCAGCTTACTTCCAACGGCCCTTTGACATACGAAGCATTTGTTGACGAATAGGACAGAGTGTTTTGTGAGACTTCGTAAAAAGCTGCATTTAAAGTTATTTACTGTCTAGCTATGTGCAGGACCCTCCAAATTCATGCTGACATTCGATGTGACATTAAATATGTGACTTCGACATCATACAACATCACAAAACTGCAAACACTGCCTATTGTAAGGCTGATTGCGATTTGTGAAGCAAAATACACTTTTCATATCAATGTAAACTGTTATGCTTGTCATGGTCTCCACTTTTGTCATATTAGTCAGGGACGTTGACCCATGAGACCGCATTTTGTGCTTATTTGATAAAACACATTCCAAATACTGCCTTCTTAGCAGCTTTACGCCCTCTGTTTCCATCTTTAACTGACTTTTTTCTTGGATTCCTCGACATGCAGTTTTAGTTCATCCATTTGCAAATGCCTTGGAACTCACAGCAGCCCTCTGGTCTCAGTCCAAAAGTCCATCCCGGACGATGTCATCTCCATCAACTTTTCATCCACTCTCATGACCGTTTCTAATATTTTGGCTAAAAGCCCATTTTTATCAATAAAAGTTACTCTCTGTTTAGGGAATAAAACGTTGATGCTTTATGCTAATGCCTCTACGTGTACACCGGCTTGTTGAAGTCCTCTGACTTGGGCGCCTCCTTCCATATCCATGCTCACTCAACTTCGCACTTGCTCGCTCATTATTTTTGCACTCTTTTTATTATTTCAATGGATATTTGCATTTAGCTTAGTTATTTGAATTAGCATCGGAGCTTCAAGTGTGAACTGCCGTGGGAGACTGACTTTAAACCAAAAATGTCCCTTGAAAAATACTAACAATTGCCCCGCTACTTTTTCGTAAAAAAATAAATATTTGTAGAGTCTTTTGCTCCATTGTTGAACTACATTCTCACTGCGGTTTCCTTCTGCCTTTGTCCGGATTGACAAGGTGTGACGTTTAAGGATGTGAAGAAGGAGCGGGAGATGGTGAAGTGGGAGCACATGAAGGCGATGGACTACCTCCGCGAACCATCAACTAAATCAGGCGGCAAACGCGGTGGCGTGGAGTCCAGGGCCGTCGTCTTTCGCGGCGTGGGTGCTGGCAGCGGAATGGGTCCGGGGCCGATGATGGACCTCAAGTCCGAGATGACAGCTGTCACTGAAGTAGGTATCAAAAGTTTCCACACTACTTGACCAGAGTGAAGGTGCTAGTGGTAGAAGTGACCAATTTCATAAAGACTTCGCTTAAAATCTACCTTAGCGTTTCTTTAGCTAAAAGCCGACAAAATGGATGCCTAGGATTCTTGCATTAAAACATACAAAAATATTTATAAATCAGGAGCTGAATAGCTCACTTACTAAAGGTTATTGGCGTTCACACATATTTTGCTTAATTGTCTGTTTATTTGTTGTGCAGTAGTAACATAGTGAAAATAGTAATGGACATGTCACTTCTACAAGGTACCCATTCAAGATCAGACATCCTTCCAACCCTAAGTCAATGGCATCAAAATGCTTCTTGAATTTTGATGCATATAACGACATTCTCCAAGAGGGAATGAAAGCTTTTTCTCTAAAAGCAATGAATCCTGACTTCAAAGATAGATAATGGTTATCACACAGACCATGAGGAGATATCGAAGGAACACAAATGGTGATGGAGAGGATCGCATACTGTGTGCTGCACACTAGAATCTTGGGCTTCCGCTTGCTTACCACTGACAACTCCGCAATAGGAGGTTCTCCTACACACCTCCAAGTTGTGACGCTTCCGATGACCTCGGTTTCAGATGCTTGATCTCAAGAATCAAATAGAGGGCAAGCGACTCTCTCAACGATCTGTCACACACACACACACGTGGGTGGGGCGTTTTGGAGTGCTAGTTGATAGGTCAGCTGGTTAAGAGTCGATGATTGATGGCGAGACAAAAGCCGTCTGCCACAATGACATAGTGGGTGGGTCAGTCGAATGTGGTTGGCGTCCCTGAAGGAACATCGATTTGACGGTTGTACAGAGGGATGGACGGACGAGGAGAGACAGGTAGTGGTTGAGAGCAGTTGTGAGCTTTTAATGGATGGCGTGTGGAGCAGGCGTATCTGCGCACTGGCTAGTGAAACTCGCATTTCTTGAAGGTGGAGGATGCAAACAAGTTGTTGTGTTGTCAACTGTCGCGTCTGTCAAGCGGATCTCGAACGTGTGCGTCGATAGTGGCACTCAGTTCGCCATGGCAAGGAATGAATGGGTGGTGCGTGCACATTCGAGTGTCTCACCGATGCATTTGAGTAGTTTGCGTTGACTGTCTGATTTTGGGTGGTGCTTTCCACAACTGCCTACTGCGCGTCGAGTTCTGTGGGTGCGGAGGTTGTGCGCCAGTTTGGGTGTGCGTTGTCGGTGATATGCCGCGTTACGAGGTTGGACCGAAGGTAAATAAAATGGAATGCTGATCTAAAATAGTTGGGAAGTGGTGCGGCTCCTAGACTTTCATGTCTTGGACTGTTTATGCGTGAGTGATCGTGTGGACAGACCAAAGCGGGTTGTATCGAAAACGTCGCAACGCAAGACAGATCCAAGCTACTTACGTTCTCCCGTCTCATCAACGATGTTCCACTTTTAAGCCATGTTCTCGTATCTTTAATTTTATGCCATCGTAGCTCTTTTATAAGAGGAAACATTCCTGACTACATTTGCTAACCTGTTTGCAGGCCTTTGTATGGCTTACATCTTGAAAAACTAGTTATATCGCCCTGCTATCCATCTCTGCTATGCAGGTTTAAGTCTGCGATAAGTGCGACTTAGTGGTCCTTGCTTATTCCATAATGCATTCCTCTCTAATGGGTGAGAGGAGCAAGCGTCGTGTCCCACTTATACCCCAAAACCATCAATTGTAGAACCTCATTTTGGTCCTTTTACTTGTGCAGGCACACACACACATGCATTGACACGCATCTCTCAGCCGCTGGGCCCCCTGCCTCGCGTCATCCCGGCAGAGGAGGTAAAAGTTGCCCGCCGACCCTAGATCAGACGCGACACTTGCGCGATGTGGCGGTTTCAGCTTTCAAGTGCACAACTATTCGCCTTCGCAGAAGGAAAATAATTTATTGGTGGGGTTTTATAGGGGTTGCCGTGAGAAACAGAACGGCCCAGTGTAATGTATGGATGAGTGCGCAATCCTAACCTAGTGCAAATGCTTACAAAACTTAATGTATGCCTTCACCTGTGTCTTAAGTCTGTCACCTCCTTTTGTCACCAATTTTTGGTAAGGCTTACAAAAGTCGTAAAGACTGATAAATCCATTTATACTCCATACGTCCGTATGTCGTTCGTCCTCCCTTATTTAGACAAATTTCAGAGATGCTTCTACCATAGGCATATATGCATGGACTGAAAGAATAGGTTTCCCTCCTATGCAAGGTGATTGGAAGGTCCCGTATCTCTTTTCTGGGCAATACTTTCGGCTCTTATGCTTGATCAAGACATGCTACACTTGGTGGATGCTCGGTCTTGCTAAACAAATTTGATAATCGAAAACATTCCTCGAAACTAAAAACTACATCTGCATACTAAATTCGACTTAAGTAGTAACACCTTTCCCTCATTCCTTTTACACTAGTGATAAGGCGTTGGATAATTTTTGGGCATTTTTGGTACGTGACAGCCTCAACAGTCACATTCAATCAGACTATATGCGAGTGAATGGTTGCGTGAGCAGAATCCTTTGTGCTTGCTGAAAAATTCCTTCAGTTGGGATTAAAATTGTGAATTATGAAAATATACTTGCGTCTCCTAGGCTACAAGTTTTGTCGACTTCCATTTTATTGTTAATAAAATGTGCAATGATGGCCATAAATAATATAACTTTTGAAATGCAAAGAAAAGCCAAATGAAATGTTAAACTCAGTACCTCCGCACGGTGAAGTGAGTTGAATAAAAAAGAAACAAAGTGACCGAGTAAGTTTGGCAAATGTGAATTTAATAGCCTAAATGAATGAAACGCCCTCATAACAAAAGGAGATAACTAGCAGGTTTCGAGGTGGTTCAACAATGAACACAAAAATCAAAAATGAAAACTAAAGAGATTTTGATTGCCGTCTGACTGTAAAGAACTTTTTTTTAAATAGTAGGCTTAACGTCTGTCAGGCGTTTTTTGTGTCAGTAGTTGGAGCACTTCAAAGTAGACATTCAAATTGTGTGCGCAATGGGTGCTCCACTCTTTCGGTAGGCATTGAGGTGTCGCGCAGTTAGGTTGTTCTGTGAAACGGCCATGCGGAAGACTTCAGGCCATTTACGTTTCACAACGAGGTGGACACTGTCCTCTCACCGGATAGTCCGATGAGTTTGGTTGACCATCCAGTTCCGCCACTTAGTCCAAGCCAGAACGAAGCGGGAATATGTTGTTTTCACACCTTTTTTAACACGTAGGGTGTGATTTTGCTCTCGTATTGGGACTGCGAGTGATGTGACGCCTCAAATGACTTTGAATCAGCACCAAACCGGAGGATGGGCGTTAGCAAGAATTTTTCATGGCTCTGCTTCGTTATAACTCAGCAGGCGGAATTGCTCTGGTATTCAGAGTCATGTAGTGAAAAACACTCAATTTTAGGAACCTTTTGCACGATTCCTCCAACTTTGCACCTATCAACCATGAGGTAGATAAAGTGCTGCAGAAAGATCTGTCCCTACTCGAGTGCTTAGTCATTGCTGCCTTGTATTATTTCGAATAAAAGAGCATAATTTTGGACAAAATATTTTTCT